GTGATATATTTCACAATATTAGATTTTAACCCTCTTGGGTCTGAGGTGATTTTGAAGCCCCTAAGATGTATGTCCCTACTGTATGCAATGCATGTAAAAGTAGACACTTCAAGTTTTTTATAGATATATGTCTCATGTCTGTATGTCTTGTTTTCGCGGAGTTTCAGTTCGTTTTAGTGACTCTTTCTAAAAACAGTTCGCGGAGAGACAAAAGAAAGAACGTGCACACTGTATATTTTCCTTATTTTGCAAAAGCATACATTTGTTGTTATTGTGAGCGTACACAAAAAAAGACATCTAACAGATTCAAATGGTCTCTAATACCTATTTGTGTGAGCAAAATGAACAGAGTGTTCTTAGTGTTTGAGGAAGATGCTCGTCACACCAGTGTGATCTGGCGACCTCAGAGGGTTAACTTTTTTTTTTGGATAAATTTATGAAGACTTGGTGAGCAGAAGTAATTTCAAGAACAGAAATGTAGTTTCTGACCCAGTGCATCTTAGTATTAAATTATTGCCTATAGTGAATAAAAGTTGTTAACCTGACACTTGTGAATGAACACTTCCAAACAATGAAATAAAAGTGCATTTAAAAAAATTGCTGCATATTGAATGCTGTCAAAAGTCCAGTGTCGCCAAAAATATTATAAAAAGACCATATCTGTCGCACAAAAATGAAATAAAAAACTTTTTTTTCTGTTGAAGACAAAATTAGGCATTTTGAAGAATTTTGAAAACCATTGACATCTATAGAAGGATAAGTAGGACAGTGGCTACCAAAAAATAAAAAAAAAAACAAGTATGGAACAAGTGGAGGGTGAGTAAATGATGACAGAATGTTTATTTTTGGGTTAACTGTGCCTTGAAGTTGCCATGTTGCATTGCTGTAATCCAAAAATTAACACACTATATTTAATTATTTGACACATGCCTTCTTTTAAATGACTATTAATAGCAAAACATCCATCAGTACCTACTAGTGATGCGCGGATGATGGTTATATCCACGGCGCTGCGGATAATTCGCGGGTCGGGTAATAAAAAAATACATTATGATTAATTGTGGGTTGTTCCGGGTGGATGTAGCGGGACATGGCAGTTGACCAGCGAAAAAGCAGAGTGTGGGCTCTGCAGAATGGGAAGATGAGACGCCCAAAAAAATGGATGAAGTGCAAGAGGAGTCTACTGTTCAAAATTTCAGTTAGAGAAGTCATCAGAGGAAAATCTGCTATCGTTCTGGGAGAAACACGATCGCTTATTTTCATGACTGCAGTGCCTTGCTAGGAGAATATTGTTCATTCCTACAACAAGCGGTGCGAGCGAACGCTCATTCAGTGCAGCTGGCCGCGTTTTGGAGGTGAGGCGGAATCAAAGATTAACATATTATTTTACTATCAGAGATTATAGCTCATTGAATCTGCTGTTAATTTTTACAGTGACCTATCATCATGCCTAAAACAAAGAATTAAATTATTAGTATAAAGCCGCGGTTTCGGGTGTCATTTCAGCTGATCCATGCATCTCTAATACCTGCATATCCTTTATGTAATTCAACGTCTAACAGCAGAGGCTACCTAGCAAGCATTTTTGTTTTAAAAGATGTCTAATAGATATCTAATAGACGTCTTGGCTAAAACAGAGCTAAACTTTAGCTTTCAAAATCTAATAGACGTCTAAGAGCAGGCCAAAAAAAATAAACAGAAATGAAAGCCTACACATATAAAGTCTGTCTAATTTGTCTATTTGACGACTAGTCTAGTTTAGATCTATTCTTGGATGTCTATTAGATTTTCAGCCCAAGTTTAGCCTTGTTTTAGCCAAGCTGTCTACGTTTAGATGTCTGTTAGATGTCTATTAAACACAAAATTGTTTGCTGGGTAAGAAGGTCATGCTAACAAGCTACATCTTGACCACTCGTCCTGAGTAAACCCAAACCCAAAGGGGTCAAATTGAGTTCATGGTGACTCACGATCCCCAAAGGGTGCGGATACAGTCCACCTCATCAGCGCGTCCCTGCTGAAAGTACTGAAAATATTTTCAAGGTGACCGTCTGTGCAGTTCACGGCTTTGAATGAAAATGTCCAGTAATTATATGACCTCGTGTGATGCGTTATGAATCACTTATTCGTAGCAGCAGTGGTCATCGCAGTTTGCTCTGAGCTGCATTGAAAAATACCACAACCTCTGACCCAGACTATCAATATGCACGTCACGGCCGTCTCAAAAAGTGCCAGTTCTGTCTGCCTCTCTCTCTCTCTCTTTATACACTTCATTCAGTGTCTCTCCCTCTCTGTTATTAGCAAGCCGGTGCTGCTTCAGACTGGAGCGCTGGCAGGTGAAGCTGCGAGTACACATGATCTAATTCTTTATTTGCGAGATCTTCCCTCCTGCAGATAAAAGCACACAAACACACGGCCTTAGACTGCACTCGGTGGGAATGCCAATGACTCTTGGCTGTTTTCAGGACCCTGGAGCTCGACTCTGTTAGTCTGCTGCTTTTACTGGAGCATGGCTAGACTGGTTTTGAATGGATATCTTTTTTTTTTCTCTTGATGTTTTGTTTTCGGAGATAAAGCCCCAACAAAGCCCGACAAAAAGCCGCAGAATGTCAGGGGCGTCTCAGTCAATGGTAAAGCGTATTCCCTGAAAAGTGCTTGAAAGGGAGCTCTGTCCTATTTGCTTATTCTTTACATGTTTCTGTTCTCTCTCCTTGTCACTGCGGTGCCAGAGTGGAGCATATGGCTGCCGAAAAAAAGGAGAAAAGAGTTTTGTATAAGAATGAATCCGGGCTTTGTGCCATGGAGGATGTGGGTACATTATTATGGTGCTGGAGACACGGTGCATCTGTTTTTCTGGGTGCATCTCACCAAACCTGTCAGTACGTCTGGGCCATATGTCAAGCCCTTGAAATAAAAAGAAATATATATGAACAAGATAGGAAAAAGTCTGTGGTGCCCATTATTGTTCTCATTACCATCAATCAAAAATCGTATTTTTATTTTATATTTTAACAAAGTTACTATTGCCATAATCCAAATATATTATTATTATTATTATTATTATTATTATTATTATTACTATTATTATTAGTAGTAGTATTAGTAGTAGTAGTAGTAGTAGTAGTAGTAGTATTGGTAATATTATTAATAACATAATAATATTATTATTATTAGTAGTAGTAGTAGTAGTAGTAATAGTAGTAATAATAATAATAGTATTAGTATTGGTAATCTAGGGGGTCACACACCAGATGCGCTGCTCGGCGCCATGCATTTTCGAATTCTAAGCATAGATTTTTATTAGGGTCGGCGCCCAAGTCAGCGGCACCCTGCCATGACTCAGGTCACTGTTCATATTTCTGCCGCTATCGAGTGCCATCTAAATAGTTTCAAGTTAAATTTAACATGTGAATGTGCACGTGTGGTGTGCGATACTTCCAACTGTCATGTGCGAGCATGTCGCACCGCCGTGTGGCGCATCCGATATGCGACCCGCTTTAGTCCTAATAGGAGTAGTATTAGTAGTGGCCTTAGTATTATTATTATTAATTGTAGTATTAGTATTATTAGTAATGGTTTTATTAGTAGTGGTAGTATTAATTTAATAGTAATAGTAGTAGTGGTCTTAGAATTATTATTATTATTATTATTATCAGTAGTAGTAGTTGTAAAAACCATGATTTTTAACAAAACATATTTACATTTTTATACTATTAAACTGCAGAAATGTACTAAAGCTCTCATTACAGTAATGCACTAATAATAAGAAATAAGAATAAAATGCTTAAAGTCATGATGATGTGCTGAAGGTAAATTATTACATATTACATTATAATAATTATGCTATTAATATTTGTTAATTATTATTTGATAATGCTGATAATAATAATACTGATTGATTGATTGATTGATTGATTGATTGATTGAATACCAAAGTTATAGCTATTTTCTCTAGCAATGTAAGGCAAGGTGAGTTTATATAGCACATTTTATACACAGTGGTAATCCAAAGTGCTTTACATAATCAAGAATAAAAGAAACAATACATTAAAAACAACAAAGAATAAAAATGATTGAAAACAGGTTTTAAATAAATGAAAAAGAAAAGAACGACATAGTGTGATCTGTCAGACGTAGTACTCATTCAGTAAAGTCACATAGCATTTTTAATTTCCCAGTTCTCCTAACCAAAAATTAGTAAATAAAAATTTAAATAGCATTTGTACGTACACTGCAAAAAAAAAAAAAAAAACTGTTATTTTAAATTAAAATTGGGTGCCAAAAAATAACGGCCATTGAATTACAGAAATTTACCATAAAATAATGGCCGTTAAATTACATAAATTTCCTGAAATTTTAATTTCTGGTAAATTTCTGTAATTTAACGTCTGTTATTTCTTGATAAATTTCTGTAATTTAATGTCTGTTATTTCATGGTTAATCTCTGTAAAGCACTTCAGCTTCCAAAAAAAAAAAAATTACAGTGTAGTTTTAATTTCAAAATTTATGTAACACAAAAATCATGTTTAAAATATACACATCGTATGAGTTCTGTTTTTTCCACTGGCTTTAATTTAGTCATAAACAGATTTACGCTCTAAAGTTACCGCAA